CCCCTCCCCTCCCTCTCCCCATGGGCACACAGCACATACAGTCCCTGCAGAACTCCTGGGGGGGCCTGAGGAACGAGGGCTCCAGGCCTGCTGCAAGGGGATGTTCTGGCTGCTCTGCAGCATCCGCGGGGAAGGCTGCGACAGGCAGGGGAAACCACAGTTAGAGCATGTCTGACTGGCTCCTCCCCACTGGTCCTCTATCTCCCAGCGATTCACAGGCACGGCCTTCCAGCCCTGTGTCCTCACTTTCCAGGGATGTTTCAATCCTAGGTGGTTTAGTCTTGCTCCAGAACCCTGAGAAGTAGATGCTGTCATTGTCCCATTGCACAGATAAGACTCAGAAGGGGGAAGTACCTGCCCAGCTCACATGGCTAAGTGGTGAAACAGGGACTATCTGACTCCAAAAATCTGCACTTTTAGCCACATGCATTCTAGAGCTCCCCTTCTATCTGAAAGCAGCAGGAAAGCGTCATGCCCACCACGTGCCCAGAACAGTGACTCAGGAGCCACGGCCGCCCCAGCAGCCTGCCTAGCACCCTCCAGACTGGTTTTCTGGAGGGTCCTGTCTCCCTGACGGCGCCTGCTGCCCGGCGAGCTAGCTGCTTGAGACCTGAGGGTCGTCCTCGGACTCTGCCGTGCTCTCACTGGGGTAGAGGTCCTGAACCAGGAGGGTGAGGGCGAGGAGGTCGGCTGGGCGCAGAGAGCTGGCACTGTGGCTGCGGAGAGGACAGGCAGCTGGTCAGCATGTGCCCAGTACCCCGAGTGGCAGTGGATGGGGACGGGTTGGTTAAGGGAGACTGGAGCGTGGTCCCTGCCCTCAAGGAGTTTACAAATACACCAGCTGATTTCGTCCTTTCTGGAGAAAGGCAAGGTGTAGATAAAATTAGCTCACTAATTTTTAGACTAAAACTTGGCTATGTTAAAAAAAAATTACCAATGGGAAACTGCCAAAGACCAGTAACAGCATATCAGGAAGCCCTAAATTCAGACTCTTGAGACAGCACTGCCCAAAGAAACAATTCAGAGGGGAGTGAGCTGAGAGGGGTTGGACAATTGAAGAATCTGAGAAGGCTTCATGGAAGAAGTGGGTCTTGAAGGTTTTCTTGGCCGGGGACTGGTGCTTTGCATGCGGGGTGAGTGGGGGCCGGGGAGCTCACCTGGAGTAGAAGGCCAGCAGCTTGGAGTGCACGAGCAGGAAGGCGTGCAGGGCCTCCTCGCCGGCCCGCGCGGGGCTGGAGTTCACGGCCTGGATGACGTGCCGCTCCAGTGCCTCTATGCACAGCTCACAGAGCTGAGGGTGAATCAGCCGCTCCACAGCCTGGCCACACGTGGGCAGGGAGAGGAGGCCATGTCACCCACCACCTTCTCCTGCTTCAGGCCCTGGCCAATGGGCACATGCATTCAGTCCACACTGAGCACAGACTATGTGCTGGATACTTGGGAACAGGGAGACTCAGACCAGCATGGTCCCTGCCTTTCTGGGGCTTCTAGTCTGCTACCTAGAATCTAGTGAGTTTGGAAGCCAGCCCGTGCCCTCACTCATTAGAAGGATCAAGATGTGGTCTTAAAGCTGCATGGCCCCTCTGATCTGACACTTGCATGGCCTGATGATGCTGGCACCCAGTAGTCACCTCCACAGCGAAACACTGCTCCTGGTCCCGCAGGCGGCTGTAGGTCCACAGCAGACTCTGGAAATGCTCCCACACCTGCATGCGCTGCTCCACATCTGGGGGCCGTAGCCTGGGGGAAGAGCAGGGAGAGCCATGAAAAAGCTGGCAGTCACCCAGCCAGTGTGGCTCAGTGGTTGAGCACTGACCCATGAGCCAAGAGGTCACAGGTTGGATTCCCCATCAGGGTACATGCCAGGATTGTGGGATCAATCCCCAATAGGGGGTGTGTAGGAGGCAGCCAATCAATGGTACTCTCTCATTGATGTTTCTTTCTCTCTGTTCCTCTCCCTTCCTCTCTCTCTAAAATCAATAAAAACATATATATTTTTTAAAAAGCTGGCTGTCCTCAACTTCAACCAAAGAAGCACAGTCCTATATCACTGTCAGGGCCAGGAGAGCTCACGTGACCTGACCAAATAACTGGGAGAGCCCATGAAGCACAAGGTGCAGCGTTCAGACCATGCCCTAGCCGTGGAGTGGAGTGGGATGGGATGGGCAGGAACCCGGAGCCAGAAGCCTGAGAAATTTGCTGCAACTCTCAGTTTGTCTCACACACAAACATGACACAAAGCCAGATAGGTACCCAGGAAGGTGCCAGGAAGGAGCCAGGGGCACAGAATGGACAGGCAGCTTCACAGAGGCTGGGTACACACTTCCTGGCCTCAAGAGGGTGATTAGCAAAGGATCTGGAGGGATCAGCCACAAGGACTCACTCCTTCCGGATGAGCTGGCCATCCACAGTGACCAGCCCGAAGTGCACCTCGAACAGGAACTTGAGCACACGCAGCTTCTGCCGCAGGTCCGCCTCGCCCTCTGTGTGGTCTCCGTTGATGGCGATGAACAGGCATTCTCCGAACTGTTAGCACAGTGGGCTGATGTCAGCTGGCCCCAGGGGACACCCCTCACCGGCCCTGATCCATGGGGACAGTGAGGGGAGGATCAGGTCCCAGGGGATTTTAGTAAGACTCGGCTTCTGCCTTCTAAAGGAGTCTAAAGTTCAAGATCAGGGAGAGGCATGTGGACTGCCCATGGAGTCAAGGGAGGAGGAACAGGGGCCCAGGACCACACACTCACCAGGTGAAGGACATAGAGGAAGTTGCTGTTTTCTGTTGAGAAGCAGGTGTATGTGTCTGAGAGCTTCTCCAACATTGTCATGGAGGAGATGATGACTGGGGCCAGGAGGGTGCTGAGCTGGTCCTCCAGGGCAGGAAGCTGCAAGAGGGGAAGACATAACACTGCTTGAGTGTACCAGACACTGGGGACAAAGAAACAGAAAAGACCCGGCCTTGCCACCAAGGGTCTCCACAGTTCTAGATCTGCCTGCAAGGGTATCACTGTTCTGTCAGAGGGGGGAGCAGGAAGACACTGCCTCCAAACCTTGGGTGGTAGTTAGGAAGGCTTGGAAGGGTTCTGTGTTTAGGACTGAAAGCAGACGGAAACATTGAGGGATTAGGCCACATTCCACAGTGCAATGCTTGGGCATTTAATGGAGAGCTGGCCAACTCTAAGAACATTTGCTGCATCTACTAAAGTCCATGCCCTTTGTAGCAGAAGGTCTGCTGTGGGGGGATGTAGCCTACGGAAAAGGATCAGAGAGCGGGGCAAAGACACATGTACAAAGATGTTTACTACAGCATCGTTTATAGTAGCAAGCAACTGGGAGAAATGCAAATGTCCAGTGCCAGGGGAATCTAAGTGATGGAAGAACAGCCAGCCACTTAAGCAGTGGAGTGCTTCAATGACATGGTACATTCCTCTGATACAATGTTACATTTAAAAAAAATGGTATGCATGCTCTGTATATTAAACTACATAAAAAGCATTGAAAAATATTAAGAAAATCAACATCATTAAGTTTATTATTTCTGGACAGAGGGGTTGTGATTTCCCCCCTACTCTTTTTACATTTCTGTACTTTCCCTATTTCCATAATAAGCATACTTTTACTTTTATAAGCTCTTCTCCCATCCATCCTCTCTCTGCACTCCCAAATAAGGAACAAAACAAACAAAACCAAAAAGAGACTGGACAAATTAGTTGAAAATCTGCAAACAAAATGGGATAAAGCCAGTGGAATGGTCATAGCTCAAATTCACAAAACTGGAATGAAAAGAAAGGAGGAAAACTGCTGATCTTCCCCAAGCTGATTTCGGGGACTTGGCTGGAATGTGGAGAAAGCGGAGTCCTAACTCAGAGCTGCAGAAACCTACAAGGAGCTGAGTAAGACCTTGCCTTGAGAAGCAAAACAGGCAGCTGGCCAGGAGCCACACATGGCATTTAATATATGAGCACTGTGTGTCTGATTTTCTCCCAACATTCAGGAACCAAGTTCTGTGCCCAGCGGCTGCAGAATCTGTCAGTGAAGCTTAAACACTGGCTCCGTCTCCTCCTTCAGGTCCCAGCTCAGACAGCCCCTCTCCTGACTACCCTCAGGGCACCCTGCCCCAGTCACTCTCCATCCCATACCCAGTTTAAGTTTTTCAGACCATTTATCACTCCCTGAACTCATGGTATTTACTTGGTTCACTGTATGTCACTCCTCTTTAGCCTCTAATTCCACAAGAGCACGGTCACATTCACTGCTTTATCCCCAGATACCGGAACATGGTAGGTTCTCAATTAATATCTGTTGACTGAATATTCCTCCAGATAAGCAAATGTTCACATGTCATCATTTTCTGGAACTGTCATGAGCGAATTATATTAATAGAAAAGTCACTTAAAAATCTAGATTGTGTATAGCAACTCATTTAAAAAGTAGTGGCTTTTACTGCAGGTATAGCAAGAATTTATTTGGTTGGGGGGGAGATAAAAATATTTGGTATAGGAGAGTGTAAAGGGACATTCTCATACGAGTTGGTGGAATTATAAAGTGGTACAATATCTTTGAATGGCTTTTGAATCAATGTTTCTATTTTTAGGAATTTATCCTAAGGAAATAGTAAGGTGTGAGGTAAAATTCAAGTACAAATGTTCCCTATAGCAATAGCTACAGACAACTACAAGCGATATACAGTCCAACATTGAGGAAATGGCTAAATAAATGGACGCATTTATTCATACACAGGAATATGTTTCCATGAACGTTTATGCTTTTGAGAATATTTAACAAAATGGGATAATGCATTAGATATAATGGAAGCAAAAAAACCAGAAAACAAAACTGTAAATGTGGCATGATCCCAACTATATATAAAAATGAAAGACACAAAGAAAATATATTAAAGAGCTAATAGCTAAGGGTAGTAAATTTATGGGTCATTTAAAAACAATTACTCTCTGTTTCTAAATTTCCTAGAATTAATTCACATTATCTATAGGATCAGGAAAAAAGTATGTTGTATACATATGAAAGTAGAACTTTAGAGGCTCTTTTCTTTACACTAGTCATGTAGGAACTGAAAAGTCAGGAATTCATTAGTTTGTTCCTTTAATAGGTTTTTCTTAAAGAGGAAGAGAAACGTCAACAAATGGCTGGTTGAAATAAAAGCTTAAGGACTGAAAATGACAAAGTGAAGTTATCAGATTAAAAACTTCTGCTCTTTGAAAGACACTGTTAGATGGATGCAAAGATAAGACACAGATCAGAAGAAAATACCTACAAAACATGTATCTTCCTTGGACTTATACCCAGGATACAAAAACAAACAAAAAACAAACAAAAACGCCACAAAATACACAAGAAACTCTCAAAATTCAATAAAAATAAGAAACAAGCCAATAAATTGGCAAAAGATTTGAACAGATACTTCATTAAAGTTATAAGGATGGCAAATAAGCACATGAAACGATGCTCAAAATCGTTAGTCATTAAGGAAATGAAAATTAAAACACAATCATGAGCTTCTCTTGTGAACAAATTATATTAATAGAAAAGCCACTTTCTACTAGATTCCTATCAGAGTGACTAAATCCACAGAGTGACCACAGCAAGTGTTAGCCAGGCTACTGAGGAAATGGACGTCGCATACACTCCTAGTGGACCATAAAATGATACCACCTCTTTAGAAAGGCTGGGCAGTTTCATAAAAAGTTTAACATATGCTGACATGACCCAGCCATGCTACCCTAGGGATTCCCGTGACAAGTGAAAGCCGATGTCTACGCAGAGAGAGACCTGTAGGTGAATGTTCACAGCTGCTTTACGTGTAAGGGACAACTAGAAACCACCGGATGTTCCCATCAACAGGTTGTGGCGCACTGTCAAAGCAGACTGCTCACAACGAAAGGGGATGAACTACTGATACGCAGTACAAGGGGGATGAATCTCAAAACAATCATCCTGCATGAAAGAAATTCTCACCATAGCATCAGACCTACACGGGGCTGCTGGAGCCAACCCTAAAGGACAGACCCAACACCAAAACCAGCCTGAGTACCTGCTGTATGATTTCATCATGTAAAAGTCTACAGAATACACACTCATCTATTGTGACAAAGAGCAGATCTGTGGTTGCCAGAGCGGGGGGG